CTTGCATGGTGCTGAAGTTTAGCTGGGAGAGATCCTTGACATTCTGGAGTGGCGGTCCAAATATCAGAGGCGGCATGAAGTTTGTTATAGTAAATGGTGGCTTCTCGTCTTTCACGAATTTCCACACTGCCTCCCTCTGCGACTTTTTTGCCGACACAGTAGGAGATCTGATAGGATTTTTTGCTGCATGTTAGAGAAAGATTATGCCAAAGATAGTATAAGGGAGGACGAACATAGCTATCTTGCGCTTTAATAGCATCCGCTCTATCCATGTGTAGCCACTGGTCATTGCTTAATGCTCGACTTTCTACGTCTTCCGCATTACCAAGGGCAATGGCGTTGATACTACCCGTTATTGCAATAGCTTTGACCTTCGAATATGTTTTTGCAGACTTCAGTAACCCGGTATTCCCGAGAATAGATGGTTCCTCAAAGTGTTTGACAAAATCGGTGTTTTTCGGGTCATCAAGCAGCGGCGCTGCGACATGGATGACGTAGTCAATCTCACTATGTTCATTAAAGATCGAGTCGAAAGCACCTGTCTTTGTAAAATCGGGCACCACTTCGAAGGTGACATGTTCTGCCCATTCTGGATGGGTTGATAGTATCCGGTCGGCCGACGATAAGGAGCGTACGATTGCAATAACCGCATGCCCATGCTGGATCAACCGGGCCAATACTGTAGCACCAACAAACTCAGAGGACCCTGTCAAAAGTGTCAGTGGCATAGTAAAGCCGAGACAGATATCCAATAATTCTGTGATCGATCAAAATGATTAGGGCGTAGTAGGCTTAACTTGAGTTGTCTACTAAACATGGGATATATACGTAGCTTTTATTACTCTACGGCATTCCATAGCCTGCACGACCATAATATGACATCTACACTCTAATATCAGAAGCAGAATATTGTCCAATGGCGTTGTTTACTCTGTCAAGAGACCAAACTTGTTCCCTAAAGAGCCGCTTAGTTTGGAACCTTACGCTGTTTAGAACACCGATATTTCCCGCCGTCACATATGATATATTCAGACCTCGAATCAAGCCAAAACGTCCTAGTAATACGATGCGCTCCTCAGTTTCAGCGCCTAAATAAGATAACGAATCCTTATTCTCGTGGTTCAACGAAACAGCCTATATGCTAATGTAGAGCTACTAATAATGACGTCATCAATTAATTTAGTTAACTTTAGCAGCTGTTCTATGTAAAATGTAATTGTCATTAAAGGTCTAGACTCCGTCCTGCGTAAGTGCCATATATCCAACTTAAGTCATATATACTTTGTAAACGAATGAAGAGTCTGAGTTGCAAAATCTATTAATGATAGTGAACAAAATGTCGACAGATCAAGAGAACAAAACCATGATTCTGGTACATGTAGTCGTGGAGCCACAAGATATACCCAAATTCCTGGCGGCCTTTCATACATGTTTTGAGGAATGCAAAAAGAGCCCGAACTTGAGAGATTCGAAGTGTTCGACATTCCGGCTAACAAAGGGGAGTTCTACTGGATTGAGACATGGAGAGGAGATAAGGAATGGTTTCTTAAGGTGAGTGAGATTTAGCACAGAGAAAAGGACAGAACAAACTCATTGTTTTGCCAAGGTACAAATGAATCGTCCATACTACGAGCCCTATCTTGCGGAAACCCAGCCTTTGTGGGCTAAACCCCGTGAGTATACGGCACAACTTGGTAAGATTATACAAGCGTCTAACCAGAGGCCTGCCTGAATAGGCACTATCAATTTCCCTTGAACATATTTCACATTTTCCGTCTTTCCAAAAGCAATTTTAGGACTGGAGTCCCTGAACATAGTCATGGAATTATTATGCGTAGAAAATTCCCCTCGAGGTGCCCCTAGTGGACAGTGTCAACCACTCTCTTTCTATGGTCATCCTTACTCTCAGCATCCTTTGAAATTCCTCGTACTGTCAAGGTGTACATACTCACCAATTAACATATTGAGTACGAATTATAATACAGATGCAGCTGTGTGCCTGGGTTGAGGTTTGCCTTGCCATAGTCGATAGATACATCCTTGATGATAGACTGTGAGTGAGGTTAGATCCTGCAGTCTATTTCATTGGGAAAGAATCGGCCAGGACCACCCATTAAACACATCAGCGCTGCATTTCACCACACAACGATCTGGCACTTCGAGGTTTAAACTCGTAACCCACGCCGAGAAGATGATAAGGCGATAAGCTCGTGACTCTCGATCGTCTCCCTAAAACTGTAACCCACAACAGAACTTCGATTCAATAGCTTCCTTCCGACAAATAGTCTGGATAAGGAAGGGATCGTCTGTCGGGTCATCAATTCGGAAGCCGACGCCCAATCATTTACCGCCAACACGCTCACGGCGCACGCATAGACACAAAAGGGTAGATTTGGGGGCCGCACTACGCCTTGAATTGGTGAAAAATTACATAGCGTCCCAGATACCCTGCTGAGGGCACGACCTCTTTGCTCGAAATTCAGAGTACACAGTTTCAACCTCCTCAATATTAGTCGTGGATCCCATTTCTACATCGTCAAGGAGAAGTGGAGATTCAGTTTTCAGAATGTCATTTGCCAGCCGCTATTCCGACGTGCTCCGCACTTTGGGAAGCAACACCATGGTCCAGCTTCTTTGTGAGGAAGGGACGAATATATTCCTCGCTGACAAGGATAGATGTACTTCCCTTCTTCTCGCTGTCCAGGATGACCATACTTTTGTCGCGTCACGGTTGGTAAAAATCGGCGTAGATGTCCGGGCAACAAATAACTCCGGGGCAAGTGCATTGCACTGGGCAATGATAAACAACAATTGAACATGGTACAACTGCTCATTGACAATGGGGCTGACTGAGGTGGAGCAAGTCTTGTGGTCGAGAACTCTGCGGATTGAATCTGCAAAATGTGGGAGCCAATTACCACGAGCAAAGGTAAGGAAGGCATTTATGATAATAAGATTGAATACTTATATCTTTAGTGAAGCCCCAAATTCAGTGAGTCGAAGTAGGCATCGCATTCCTATTGTTCACAAGACGGTTGGATTTCGAAACAAGAAAGGGATAAACAAGACAGCTGAGGTTTATATCGCTAAAAGCTCAGCGGCTGTGCTTATCAACTGCTGCCTAAGACCGAAGGTGATGGAAATAGTTTTAGAGTTTATTCACCATTGCTGATGGTAGTCTTGTATGACGGGAACAGACTCCGAGACTACAGCTGAAGAAGACTTCCACTGAATCAACTGCTGAAGCTACTGAATAGCCTGCCGCAGAACCTTCCACCGACGACCCAAAGGCTGAGGATATATTTCCCACCCAGGGCCTGAGAGATTTAGGTCGACTCATATCGACTCGAGTAGAAACCAGACTACTGTAAAACTTCTCTTTGTACCGCTGATCTGGAAAAGAATATCACTTACATCTCCGAAAAAACGCTTATGTTTAATGGTTTCAAGTTTCCACGCCAATTCTATTCCAGAGCAGACCGGGCAAGAGGCTTCCAATCCATCTGGTCTCTTCTGCACCCATTATTTCACAATGCAATCTGTATGATATACACGGCCGCACTCTAACTTGCACTTTCCAGTACCAGCGATAACGAGTAACTCATGACAAATCCAACATTTTTCTCTTGAACCATCAAACGCCTTGTCCAGTAATAATTTCAAACAGACACACAGACTACTCGTTGTTTGGATCTAGAGTGAGAGTCTCACGGATTTGGTGTTTCCACTACATACACACAGAATCTTCAAACTAGAGAGAGAAGAGAAGAAGAAAAGGAGGAAGGACATCAGGCAGTCTAAATACAGAGAGGCAAACAATGCAAACGAGACGATGTGATTCGAGTTTTTCCTTCAGGTCTTTACAGCTTTGGTATACTGTATTTATTTTTGGGCAGAGCCAACTTCTACCTTGTGTTCATTGTCTCTATTTTGACCAAAATTACTATAATTATTGTCCAAATGCGCACTTATCTTTCCATCGCTGTCCCCTTAACAGATAACATGGTCTTGGGTCAAATAGGCGCATGCTCACCAGAACTTGATAAACTATTACAGACTCAAAAGCATAGGAGAGAAGAGAATGCAAGTAAACAACGTCAAGACATGTTAGCGTCTCTTCCTAATTTCCGTAAGTTCCACATAGGCTCTCAAATGCCCTTGACCGGTATTTCAGAGGAAATTCACCATATTTGTCCTCTCCGTTCGTATTTCGGCGCTTTTAGTTCGTCTCGTTTCTTATCGTTTTTACTTTTCCTTTAACTTCATCAAGCTTTTTCTTTGTCAATAGATGCAGTAGCAATCGATCATGGTTTTCGACAAGACGCTTCACATTTCAGCTTGTGCGTCGGCACCATCGGTGATGTACGCAGCGCTCGGCGCAAATATACCCGGTACAGACACAAGGATGTCAAAATCTACGATTAGACGCCTCCTACGGACATACGAAATCCGAAATGGAAGTCAAAGAAGCAGATACTGTTAAATAAGGAGACTGCGAAGAAAAGACTCGCTTTCTCCCGTCAGTGGGGTGGCTTTAGGGAGTGGGGAAAGTTCATCTTTTCTGACGAAAGTAACGTACAACGTGGATCGTCCGATTCAATTCGTCTTCCGCTTCCAAAACGAGGCTTTTTTTTTACAAGGGTTTGTAAACTTGACTTGCCATGGGCAAGATATCTCGCAAATGAGTTGAGGTAGATTTGGATTGGTGGTAGGTCCAAATTAGTAATCATGGAACGCGATCCTAAGCTCTTCGCGACGGATATACCTCGATCTCTTATACCGACGCTCTTGATGATGGTTTAGTCGAAAATTTATTCACCTGATTCTATCTCCCAGCAAGCGCAACGGGTGGGGAGGGGCAGCGTTGTGCATCGCGCCTGCCTCTGTTCCAGATGCATCGCTTGACCTACCCACCGAGAGATCCGGCGCGGTCCGCCAGTCACTCGAACCCTCAATGATTCAGGATAATGAACCTGCACGATAAAATTGGCGGATACGCTCTAAATGACAGGCCAGGCTTTCGCGTCCTCGACATTAAGGACAGCTAGCGCCGCAACATCAAAGCGGTAAAAATCCGCCGCCCCACTCTCGTCATGGATGCACCGGATCCACATGATCCGCCTGAGCTCCGTTCGCGTCTCTGCCCACAACAGTCAGGCGCCGCGATGCCGGCCAGAGCTCCCGAAGCCACCGCTCCCTGATGCTACAGACGGTCGCGCCGCAGACAATTACCAGCCAGCGCAAGACGGGTCGCAGGCCTGAGTTTGTTGAAGTTGGTGCTGATATCGACTGCGATGCTGATGCTGACGCTGCAAGACTGCTACATGCGCTCGGAGGTGGTCCGCCAGGTGCTCGTAGGTTACCTGCCGTCCTGGGACCCGGAACATTGTCGTCAGAAAGGCCAGCAAGCCCAGACATAGCCATTCTCCAGGCGTGTCGACCAGTGAGTCCTTGAGATTCAGAAGGCGAGTCTGAATCGAGCTGATGATGGGCTGGAACTCGCTCACGCCTAGTCGCATATTGGTGTCCGTGTGTATGTTGATCAGCTCCGTCGGTTGCGCAAGTCCTGAAAGACAATGATGAGTCTGGGGTCCGTGGACGCTTCAAAGAGAGCCAGCGACAGCTCGACGTCCACGGATGGCGACGGGCGCGTAAAGGCCGGATCCCACGCCACGGGGCTCTTGAGAAATCGTGGCGCCCTCCCGTACGAGGCACCACATTAGGTCCAGGCACTCGGAGCTTAAACTGAGTGACAGGGTTCTTCCAGAGGTGCCCAAGGCCATCTCGCATCTCTACGAGCCGTTGCAGGCCAGCCATGCGCATTACATGCGTCGTGGTCGCCGCTAGTGCTAGAGGCAATGGCCAGGAGCATGACTGTATAGATAGTCGTGTCGTCCAGGTGCGCGGCCCCCGCTGCCAGCTTTTTTTGAGCAGCGCCAGCGCCCTCCCTAAATGGAAGTGTGACGACTTGGCCAGCGGCAGATTTTGCGCCCAGTCGTTGATGGTTGAGATTAACGAAGAGAATGGTGTGGAGGAACGACCTATCAAAGTCGACCAGATGAAATCTGAGCCTCTATCGTCGTTGAAGTCGACCACAATCTTGACGAGCGGGTACGAGGCTTCGGTTATGCGATTGAAAGTAATGACTGAATAGATGTTGGTCGGATTCGCGATCTAATCGAGGAGGCAGTCTTACACTGTCGTATCAGCGACTCGGATATTTGGCCGACCGCATTCGCAAAGTGATCGACGACTGCTCCAAAAGCAAAACCTCGAGGCGCCTGAGGTGGATGAGCCCACGGGCGCTCGTCTAACGACTCTGACCTTTGCTTTACCCGCCGCAGGATCGTCGTAGAAATGGATGTATTTTCTCTTTGAGCCATAGTTGAACTTGGTCTGCCCTTGATAGTAGGGACAGCGCTCGTGTCAACATTCGTACTGGCGACGTGTTTGGCTCCTCCGCCTGGCGTCCCGGTTTGAGCAGCGGGATCCCTCGCGCTTGTTCCGGCCCTTCATGCAGTGACTGCGGACCTGGGACCTGTCGGCGGGCGTCTGCTTTTCAGCCCCCGCCGTACGTGACAAAGGCGAATTGCGTCGTCATGGTCACTGTTCATTGTACTTTGCTTCAGCGGTTAGCGCACATATCCCATCGAGTCCGGACTCGGGTCTCGGAAGAGATGAGAGCGATGATGGGTAGTGGCGTGGTTTGTCCAGCCTCTATGCGGGACCCGGAATATATGCCCAACATGGCCTTGTGTGGGAACCGAGATTGAAGGATTAGACAAGCGACCAGATGGTTCTCCCTTTTGGGAGGGCCTGGAAGAAGCCGGACAGCAGAGGGATCGGCGCTGACGACAGAGCCGTAAGCAGGTGCTGAGCCACTGACCACATTGTTTGCCCTTTTTGGAAATGACCCGAAATCTTAGTGAGAGTGAAGCCGAATCGAGGATGATGAATGACGGGATTGCGGTCTAGGGTTCCTCCCGCGATGCTGTTTCATACGATAGATCTGCTATTAGGTAGATAATTCCGAATAGCATTGACACGATGTCTTTTCCTAGATGTGGCTATAAAGACAGCCTCCAAAGCTCTCTTCTCGCCCCACCCGCTTCATCAAGAGCCATCCCACCAATTCCTCCTCGCTGCTATCTCTATTATTTGCGTCTCGTCATACAGCAAGAGCCAAAGAAAGAGGGCTTCAACATCACATGGAACTCAATGGCCCCTTCTACCCTCTACGGCCTCGCCGCTACAGGCCTTGTCAGGGCCCAGTTTCTCCCAAAGCCAGTCCCGCCGCCTCTGTCAACGTGCCTTGGCGGACAGACGGCCATGTGACGGGCATAACACCGGTATTGGTCTTGCTGCGGTTGGCGGCCTTCTCAAATACCATGCCTCCACGTCGTTCTGGCGTCGCGATCGGTAGAAAAGGGAGAAGCCGCCGCTGCTCCGCTCCGCAAGCAGTACCCCGACGCTCGGATCGAAGTGTGGCAGCTTGACATGCTGTCTTATGAGTCCTCTATCAAAGGCTTTGTCAAAAATTGCAGCAATCTCCCCGTCTCGACAGGTCATCCTCAACGCAGGCGTGGCCATGGCCGATTTCGTCATCAACAAGGCGACTGGCCACGAGTCGACTTTCCCAGGTCAACTACCTATCTACCGCGCTCTAGCCATCCTCCTTCTTCCCATTATCAAGTCGAAGCGACAGGCCCAAGGCCAGGAAGAATCACAATAGTCGCCTCTGGGTTGGCACTCCGATCCAAATTCGCCAACCGCGACGCCAACCCTCATCCCGTCGTTTGACGATCCTAAGGGCTGAGAACTGCGGCCGCACTTGAGCGATACGGTCTGACCAAGACGCTGGTGTTGATGCTGGTTCAAGCTCAGTGAAGAACGTGGAGCCCACCGACGTCGTCATCAACGCTAGAACCGGGACTGGTCGGGCTCTGGTCTCCAACAGCACGCTCCCGCGTATCTGCGGGCCGTCTTCCACTTTATTCACGCAATTGCAGCGCGATCAACCGAGCAAGGGGCCTGGGCGTATCTGGATGCAGTTGCGGTAAAAGGCCAAGAAAGCCACAGTGGCCTGGTGCTGAACTGGGACCTCCATCCGTTTCACCCCATGATGTATGAGCCAAGCGGCAAGAAGATCACAGAGAGATTGTGGGAAAGAGCTTGATGGGAAGAAGCTGGGATTTTGCTAAAGTGCAGGGTATCATTGACTCTTTGCACAAGACGCATTGATGAGGCATTTGTTGCATGTCGCTGGCGTTGGGGGATTTAGGCCAATCTTGAAGTATTATTAATTGCAACATGTTTTTCAGTGGCACTCTCTGTCCCTTCCTGCGCGTTACATGGGTGATGTTGATATTTTGTTGCAGTAAAGATATCAGATGTTCCTGGAGCAGGATTGAATGAGAGATGGTCCTTGTAATTTTCACACTTGATAGTTGTTCCAGGCTCCAATCCCTGGAGTTATACGCTCGCCAGGTGGCCAGGTGAGCTAAAAAGTGGTAATTCCTAATAATAATAAAAAATTAAAAAACTACTATCTACTAATAGTTGCTCGTAGTTGGTGATTTTCCATAGTATTTACTATCTCAAAATAAATTCCTTCTTCAGTTCTCCGAGAGGGGAAGCTTGATTACGTATATCAGTGGGATGCAGACAATGCGGTGCTAGAGAGTAGAAATGTAGTGGATGCTAAAAACTCAGACATAATTTTGGCGCTAGAAAGGGTTTCGGATTTTGTCGCGCTTCCCGGAGTCAGTGACCTGGCCCTTCAGAGGTCATGAAGTGATTTCCACTTCGCGTTCTTTTGTTTGAAATAAAGAGATTGTGGTGACTGTCACTCTGGGCTGGAAATCCTCAACCGAAAGCTGGTCGTAGTTTTCAAGAGTTGTAGTTTATTTTTAAAGACGACTCAGAGCCCAACTCATAAAGGCAATATAACCCTAGAGTTTCTGTTGCTATTTTTGGACTCTAAATGCCGTTACGGGCATGTAAAATGCCGCTTTGATTACGCCGTCCGCGGTACGCGGCTCGCGGTAACATCATTGTCGGCTTAAATCCGACGAATTGCCCCTTATTGAATGTCTTGTCCATTCACACAAGGACCTATTTTAAGGCTTCAAGAAAATAGTTAGGTTTGTGTGGTTTGTGAACAATCTGAACAGTGGGGAGATTATGCTAACTCCATTCTGCCTGCTAGAATAACAATGGCAAGCACCGAACAAGCGAGTGAGTACAAGCAAGGGCTATTCTAGCCAAACTGTCTTAGCCCAACAAACTCGCACAGCTGATCCAGGAGGCTGCTTTACTGCCATACATCAAACGGACAGACTTCATTCTCGATGTCGGCTGCGGTCTGGTACTATTACCGCAGGCTTTGTCAAATACGCTAGTGAAGGAAGGACCGTCGGCGTTGATATGTCGGCAAAGGTCTTGAAGCAGGGCCAAGGCAGTGGCCGATGATTCGGCATTCTAAAGAGGGGCCGGGCTCCATTATTTTCGAGGAAGGCAATGTCCTGGAAGGGCTCACGTACTCAGACAATACGTTCGACGTCATATTCTGCTCTCATACCTTTGGGTATATGCCGCCACCAGACATGCCTCTTAAGGCACTCACCGAGATGCGACAGTACTGAAACCGGAGGAATCTTAGCCACGCGTGATACCGTCGAACAGCGCTTTTACCGGAGCGCGGATCCTCGACCGTCTCTGGGTGGGGAATTTTCGCCGAGCGGTGCTCAAAGGGGATACTGAAGCAGATTTCACCGCCTTTTATGCCGGCTTTGTTTCGTCGTGCGGGTTTCGATGCCGACGGGGGCAAGGTTCGTATCGGCACCGGAAGTACGGCGTTCTCGGGGCAGATACTCGGCAGTGGCTGGCCAAGCGTGCTGAGAGCCAGTTACAGCCCGGCGACCCCTTACCAAGAGCTGGCTGGAGGCTGGCATCACCGAAGACGAGATACACGAGACGCTGCGCCTCGAGAAGATGGGCGAGATGGAGATGCTTGGTATGCGGCATTGCATTGCGAGATGCTCGCATGGAAGTAGCTTAATGAATGCTTTCCTTGGCCAACGAACAGTGTCTGATGATCAATGGGAGCTATACTAGAAGATACATCAATTGTCAAACATATAAATCCTCGAAGTCAAGAGAATTTTGAGGTTTAGATGATCCCACCTAGTCAGCTAGCTACAATGCTGGTCGAAAATAAGCACAGAAGATCGCACTGGATTCAAATCTGCACCTACGGAGATGGCACCCACCCTAGCATTATGGTTTTCTATATCTGTTATGATGAGGTTCGGGATGATTCCGTACGTTTCACTAGACTCGTACAATGTTATGAATAGATATTGTCAGTATAATGCCCCTTGGGTAATTTATTCAGCCGCCGCATCTATACCGAATTACTCATCAATCTACCCATATGGCAACTGTGCCCCGAGCTGGATAGTTGGATAGATCACATTGAGCAGAGGTTTTCCGCTTCTCTGCCCCTATAAATATGGACATGATAGCCTAGACCTGAATACCATCGTTTTCAATCGTCGTCACATGACACTACCTAGTAAATTTACTAGTGAATACCAGAAATCCAGACTCCATTGAATGTTGCAGCCGGGCTGGCGCTCGACAGCCACGAGATATATTTAAGCCTTACAGACAGGGCATCGACATGGTTGGAGGACGGAACTACTGTATCATGCGTCTACCATCATACACATGCTCAACGCACAGAAGAGAATACGGCGTTCGATTGCTTCATTGTTCTACTCAGTTGGTGCACTCGGCTCTGCGCTGGCCGAATTCCATCCTGATTTTCTGTCGCAGATAGTGAAGATCAAGCCTGACGAACAGGGTTCCTTTGGTCAGCTTCTATCCTTCTCCGCCTCCGTTCCTCCTCGTCTTCTTCTCTTCTTTCTCTATCAACAGACGGGGACGGTCCGGATATAGCATATGAAGGACCTACGCAGGTTGGCAGGAGCTGTGCAGTGTTCATCTGACCGCAGGGCACAGTTTCTGTACGACAGTAAAGGTAGAAGGACCGCATAGCCAGAAGGCTTGGATGTTAGACCCGCGGTGCGTGAATAATAATAACAAAAATACTTAAACCGTTTTTCAAACATTGATCATGGAATCTAACTAGTGCTGGGCCTTGTATTCCTTCAACCACGCCACGACAAACTTGGCTTCCTGCTCTTGGGCCTTTTTTAACAGGAAGTGGAGGCAATTTAGGTGTCATTTCATTTCGGAAGAGGCCATTCTCATCCCAATGATGGACAGCTCCTTCTATCAGAATGCGCGGCTCGCTCGGCGTGCTTGGCGTGTTCAGATACGGGTCAGCGAGCGGTGTCACCGGTCGCCACGGATCACCTGCCCACCGATCTGCGCCAGACGTGGATAGGATATTTTAAAACCACCATATTTGTTAATCTGCTCCGTCTGGGCTGGTTTCTTGATGCCAAAAGCCTCGCGGCAAATGGTGCTCCCATACTCGATGGTCTGAGTGCGGGAGATCAAGAAGTGTGGCAGATTAGTTCTTGGGCGCAGTCAGGCCGACCTGGAGAAAGCCCCACTGAGTGCAGTACTGATACAGCCATGACCGCCAAGTCTGGAGTGATGTCATCTAATTTGTAAAATGTGTCGTTGCGAAGGCTGAAGTACTCGCTTTCCGGTGTAGCCGGCTTCCAGAACTGGCTGGATTTGAGTGTAGTTCATCCAAGCTGCCCAGTTTAGTAGATGAGGGCCAAGCTGGCAGCCTGCTCTCCGTATCCGCCAGCACTAATCAACTTCTCAGCGGTGGCCTTCTGGCTGACGCAATGAGGATATTTAATCGTGCTCGAACTGAGGTTCGTGCAGTAGTTATCGAAGTCCGGGTCGTTGACTGCCGGATCCCAGTTCCGGTCTTGCCAGTAGGAAATGCCGTAGGAGATCGCACTCATAAAGTCATCGTCATATTTGAGCTCTTGAAGGTTGAAGAGCGCCTTCAGCTCAATTAATGTGGCTGTGATTATGAAAGATGATGTTGTCCATTGCGTGGGTGAGTGTCTGAGTAAGGTTGATGCACGGTTGCGGACCGTATTGCACAATCGGATTGAAATACTCCCAATAATTCCACTGAGCCTCAGAAACGCCTGAGGAGGGAGATGGCACCAAACCATGTGTCCGGATAGAGCTTGCGGAGGAAAGCAGCATAGGCACCCGCATAGGAGCCACCATAAGCGATGTATGGTACGTTACTGGCAGTTAAATTGAGATGTTCTAGGCCAGGGAACACGATATTGTTGGCGAAATACGTCGTGTCGGCTAGAGACTGATCCGTGGTCAAAGACCGCAGGTTCTCTACGAACAAATCGGGACAGGGAAAGACTCTCCGTAATACCGGTGCTCGAACGACTCCAAGTCCGTTTGTTGCTTTAGCGAGTTATTGACGCTATACCTGATCAATAGCATTAGAAGGGCATTGTAATCACAGATAAGGCGCACCCTTCTGCAGATACGGTAATCGGTCGTCACCAGCGCTTTCACCGGAGCAAAGCACTAGGACGGGGCCACCGGGCTTGTAGTAGGTGAGTCAAACCAGTAGCGAATGTTGAAGAAGCCATCTGAGTGTGGTTCGTAACGGCTCTCGTTGTGGAGATGGTCAATTGGTACGGAGAAGTTGTAGGCTGGATACAATTTGACAGGGCTCACAGGGAGCCAGCAGCGAGCGCCTTGCTCGGCTGTTGTTGGTCAGCACTAGTGGTCGGACCTGTGACACGATGAATTGCTTACAAGGAGCCGCGATTGCAGTTCACCAACGGGCAATGAACGTGCCGCCACGTAGCCAGTGAAGCTGGCGAGCAAGAGATATAGGCACTTGAGCTCCATGGAAAAGCTAGATAGAACGCAAAGTGGGACACGACTGCTGGGGAGGAGCAAGTTACGGCCCAGCCAATTTATTTTCGAGATTGGGGGTTCGCTTAGCGTACTTCGATATTTAGTTTAGCTTATCACGCAATTAGTAAATACGTTTTACTACTACCCTACCCCCTCTCTGCAGTGGAGGACCAGGTAGCATTTTCTGCTTAAGCAGGTTTAACCGGGAGTTACATTTATTACGCAAGTTTCAGGCCCTCGAATAAATGTAAGGCTCGGTTAGGATCTGATATGTTATTGTTCGTGACCTACCTAATCTGGTATGTAGGTGACTATATATATACCCACGGGGATCCTCGCGGTAGTAGAGAGGTAAGCTACTGCGACTACAAATAGCTGGATCTTTCCTACTGAAGACAGATGGAAAATAGTACATGTTTTCAGTGTTTCCAAGGAAAGATAAGTATCAGTCTTCTCTCTCTATGCATCGTCAACATAAACAGAACTAGGTGTCTACTAACAAGTCTGCATTTGTGTGCAGGGTATTCTTGATACCACCTACCAATATCCGTTGCGATGACGAGAGAAGCAATTTTCAGTGGATGCATTTCGCTCTGCCGCATGTCAACGAGGGTCAAGTAGATTATATAATTTTTAGCAGACAAATTTAGACAAGACGACGAAATATAAATACCAAGTGGCACTACTTTTCCTTCGCGGAACCTCTAGCGACACTCACGATACTCAAACTTAGTCATGTGAATCTGAAGATTGTACCATTCAGTTAGCAGAGACGCAACAAAAACGCAATTGAGGATAAATTGATTATGACATTCCACCTCCTCCTCCCACACCGACGAACTTCGACTCAAAATCTACGAATGGCCAATTGGCAGTACCAAACGAATATCTGAATAAGCCACTGATTGTGGTCCACAACAGAAGCAACGTCTGTACAGATCGCGGATAATATGAGGGCTCTATCGATGTGTCCTGGCTGGAGCGAGAACAGAGCAGCGCAAGCTCTGTATGCGTCAACCACCAGATCCACGACGAGGCTGAAGACTACCTATTCTCACAGAACACGCTATTTTCCGCAACGCATTTGATCTCGTGACTAGGAGACTTTCTTGTCACGCTCGAAAAACCCGCGTGACGACACATCCGCAACGTCGGCTTCGAGGTCTTCTTCTATCACACGCGCAATTCGGCACGCCCAAGCGCACATAGCAATATGAGCGTGCCACACGGCTCTGCAACTAAATAAAACGTGAGGACAAGCAGTGGACGGATGTAGATAAGATGATAACTTACCAGTTCCTGGAAACACGAGAATCATCCACGTCAATGAGAGTGCAGAAGGTAGTTATCGACAAGATCTGTGAATGTTAGTAATGACGTGAGACTCGGGATATCTAGGTTGAGGGCGTACCGTCCAGCCAGTCCCATATATCACATAATAGTGCAGTCAGTGAAAGAATCGGGCTCTGGGACTTGCATGGTGCCTTTGAAGTAAAATCAAACACAAACCCAAGTGAGTCAAGATACATCACTAATTTTGAACGGGTTAGCGGAATACAACAATCAAATCAAGGAGAGCTGCTCACCTAATGCAAAAAACATCAGACTTTCCGCATTAGAAGGTAAAGGTCTGGCACGACTGTAGTGCTAATTGCTGCACACCTAACCCAATATAAGCAGCCTGTTCTACACCGTTGGTGGTATGTGCTTTCGAACTTGAGCTACAACCAGAAAATTGGCTATCCAAGATCAACGCAATCATCCGGCGGGTAAGAAAAAGGGCGAATTTATACCTTTGCCACCTCTAGTGGTGCGACTTAACTCTGAAAGAATAGTGCTCAAGCTCCTAGCGTAGAGATTCAACGTGTAGTCAAATCCCCGCGTGAGATCATCTTTCCATTGTTGCATTGTTGTTTGTGTCCTTTTCATGCCTTTCATGGAATTCGGACAAAGCACAACAACATCCTTCGGAGCAGTTTGAAAATTGAGAATGGTGGCCGTCGATATCTCCACTGCAAGCGTCTGGCGATGCCTGTGTCCACGCGCTATGAAGATCGCTCCAGTACTGCTTTTTGTCCTCCCGATGTTTCCGATGTTTGGCCATCATGCTTTTCATGAAGAAAGGATAAACTGCACTCGATGTGGACGTTATTCGATCGGATATCACCAATATTCCATAGTTGTCCTTTTATCATAGAATTCCATAGAAGAAGGTCAGCGTTTCTGTTCTCCTGAATCACCTTACATACCGCTAGGGTCACCCACTTGGAAGAAATTCCACCCAACCCACTTATAATATCTTGTGTTCACGGTCAGCTGAGGATCCAGTCGCCAGCCAAAGATGGCATTCAGAGCGTTGGGGATCGTTTGGTTTCGGATCATATCAGCCTCGCTCAAGACCTCATCGTTCCAATGTGTCAGATACCACCTCACGGCTTCGCCTTCTTTCCCCATCTTAGGCAGGATAGGCTCAGCGCGTTGCAAAGCCTCCATGAGAACTTTGCAACTGGTTGCCCATCTGCTCTCGGCTCCAATTGTGCTAGAGAAGACACGGCAAAGCAAGCAAGGAAAGTAGATCCAAGAGAGTGAACCGTTAAATGCATTCTGGCTGAACAGGAAAGATAATCCTTAGACTGATGGTTGGTTATTTCCTTAATGCCATTTCTCTCTCGACTTATATGGAGATCGGGGAAGATTTGGCCCCAAAACGTCCTTAAGTACATCCACACTCCCATTGGGCGAGGTGTGCTCGGGGGCGAAGAAAATAGCTCAAAAACTCACGATATTCCTTCAGGATGGGTTTCCATGAGGCTCGCACAGTGAATAAGTGCGTTTCGATGAGTTGTTTTTTGTGCCCTCTCGCGAACTGGCTTATGTCTTTTGAAGGGAAGTAATTACCCACTTAGAAGCGTGGGGGCTATTATTTCTAGATGTATATTTTCACAAGGCCGTGATATCCTCAGAAAAGTGAATGTAAGCGGCGTTCGACTGCGAACAGTGGGTAATATTCAACTAAGATCTCATTTTCTAAAAGGTAAATGGGATTCATTTTAAATACCATAATTTTTGCTCAATCTGTAGAACATTGGCCAACCCTCAGGGAATGGATCGTTTATGTCGACCATTTGCTCAAATGCCGACTTTGTGTAAAATTCCATTCATTGACAAAACCCAGAGAAGAAGGCAGACACTAACTAATTCGGAGTCTTGCCGTCTGACTTCGTAGACGGCAATTCGGATCCGAATACGCAACATGCAAGCGACTTGAGAGTTGATGAGCATAGATGCTCTCCCTGGGACAGCCAGAATCGCCGTGATGTCACTGCACTACTGGAATTTCCCATATTTTTGCATTTAGGATGAAATGATAAAGCGAAAAGAGCGGAAGCGTCGAGCGGGATCTGATTTTTGAACTACGTCCTGAATTGGTCAATTTGGGTCAACCAGGGGCTGATTGAAAGTTCTTTGGAGGTTAATAGAACTTGGATTAATTGATTTAATGACCTCACCCACCGACCTCATCCAACAAAAGGCAGCCGTACCAGCCATCACGATATTTGTCATGAAAACGGAGCCGCTCCGAACAGTTCCTCCATTGACCCTATAGGAACTACAGGTTTAAAAGGAAATCACAGAACAACAATCATGATCAATCTCCAGCGTGACGGTGACAGATGAAATGTGGATGAAACAAATTCACGGGGGCTAAGTTCTTCGCGTTTCCTCGCGAGACCACGCATTCGCGAGCGGCTAGGCCGACGGCGGGAGTGGGTTTAGTAAAGGGAGGCGGACTCGGTGGTCGAAGACTG